CTCCGTGCTGAGGAGGACTGAGTCTGTCAGCAGATAAAGACTGAAGGAACCAAAGATGGACTCAGTTCAGTTTAGTTCCTGCCGTGGAGCCTGAAGTTAAACGTATCAATCTAAACTGGTCATTTGTAATCTGACAATGCTCTCCTGTAGAAGTAATCTGATTACTGTGAGGGGCTCCAGTGTAGGATCACTGCTGTTGTTCATTGTGTGTGAAACAATAACTTTGTAAAACTAAGCTTGTTATAAATCACCACACTCAGAGCTTGTTGCAGTTCATAAGTTCATATAAAATTTTAGAACTCTTAGATGTCAGCGATCAGTAACACAAGTCAAATCAATTTCAGAAAACAAAAGAGTCAACAGTGACGTCAACCAAACCCTAATAAATTCACTGAAAACTGAGCTGAGCAGGTTTCAGGAGCAGTCTGTCACCTGATTGGCTCTTCCTTTGTTCTTACCGAGTTTAATTAAAAGCTCAAACTTAAATTTTTTACTCTGAATGATTTTTCATATTGTGTGTTTTCTTGTTTCTTGTTGTTGTGCTCAAACTCCAATAAACTGATGATGTTTGATTATTTCTGCTCACTGAGTTTTCTGTTTGACACATTCAACACTTCATTTAACAAACTTTTAAACTGGTTTATGCTCCTGAAATGGAATTTCATATATTAACAAAATGTTACATGTGGAACTTGAAAAAAGAAAAGAGATCCTGAGAAATTGTTTCCTATCAACACCTCCTCCAAGGAGCTGATGTTTTAGCCGGTGTTTGTTTGTTTGTTTGTTTGTTAGCAAGATACCTCAAAAAGTTCTGAATGGATTTCATGAAATCTTCAGGAAATGTTGAAAATGGCACAATGTACAGGTGATTAAATTCTGGTGATGTTCTGGCTACCAGCTGGTTATTTTCTCATAAAAAGTAGATGCTGTTAAGCATCACAGTAGTGCAGCATGCTGTCATTGCTCCGTTTGTCCACTAGATGGAGCTCTGACTCAGTCCTTCAGTCCTCACCGCTGTCTTCTCAGCAGTGCAGGAGGAAGCTACAGCCAGGCAGCACCACAGGAGTGGGCTGACTGGAGCTACTGACAGAAACGTTCAGAACGTTAACAATGACTCAGCAGGTCTCCTGGTTCACGCTAACAATGACTCAGCAGGTCTCCTGGTTCACTTTAACTGTCTTTGCCACGTGTCAGGACGACTGACACGTGCTTTGTTGCGCACGCTTTTCATTGACGTTGCTAAAGTTGTGCTAACCTAGCTTAAGCTACTCCCTGTCTGTTTATGTTAGCAGTAGCATCGCTGTAGTTATGCTAATCTAGCATAGCGTTAGCTAACAGCTTAAAGCCAGGAAGGAACTGCAGAAACAACACAAGTGTACAAAATATTGTGGAGTCCAGAACAAGCGTCCATCACTCCGTCAGCTGGTTATTAATGATATCAATGCTAACTCAATGCTAAAGCTATGTTCTGTTCTCCATGAATCTAACAGTGTAGATAAATGAATCAGGACTTTAACGTCGGGTGGAGATCACCACATGGTGGAGATGAGCTGCTGGGCGGAGGTCTGACCTCTCAGAGGGCATTTCTAGTTTTTTATGCTTCTGTAATAGTTAATACACCAGTATGTAGACGCTCTTTAAACAAAATTATATTTTTAATGATATAATATGATTATTATTGTTATCCATGAATTTTCAAATTTACTGTTTTACAAAAAAACAGAAAAATATTATAGCACATTATTATTTCTTGGTTAATATATCAGATTCTAGTTATTTACCTTCATTCCTGAACAGAAACATGAGTTTTAGTGGTTGAATGTTCTGCTTGATTCATGTCTGACTTCTCAGAGAAGTCCAGAGGCTCAGATCTGGAGATAAAAAGGGGAATTCAGGTTAAATTCCTCATTCCTGTTCAAAATCGTAAAACATGGACAACTGAATGGCATTCAAGCTCTTCATGATGCTGGATGGTCAGCCAGAGATGCTTCTAGACCAGAGTCTGAGAAGGTCTCCAGAGTGACCATAAGAGACGACTGATGGAACAAGGCTTAGAGGGAAGAAGAGCTGCTGAGAAGCCTTTACTGAGGCCTGCAAACATCCAGAAACACAAACACTGGACTGATGGTGACTGAAGAAGGTCCTCTGGATGGACGAGTCCAAGTTTGAACTCTTCGGTCGGTATCGTCGTGTTTGAACTATTTAGCCACAATATGTTACAAACGGTTCAGAGACTCAAGTGCAAACGACAGAGACACAGCAGAGAGAAAAGTGAATTTGAAAGTGAATTAATTTACGAAGTGCGGTGCAATATTACAGTGGAACAGAAACACTCAGAGACTAAACAGTAAACTACAACCAGAGTTAGCTTAACAGACAGGAAACAACAGCCTAAACACACGAGCGCTATCTGGCAATACGGAAGACTGACGTACGGAGAACAAGCTAAACCAAGGTGAAGGTTGGACTGAAGGCAAGACTGACGAGGTTCAGACTCAGGCGGGCTGGAACTGATGGGTTCAGCAGACAAACTGGAGAAGAGTCCGGCCACACTGGTGGATTCTGCTACTGCTTACAAAGGGCAGGTGTTGGCACTCAGACTCCGACCGTCGTCACGGTGATCGCCAACACCTGCTGCCACCAACCGTTGCCGCCCCGGGGCACGCCCTCCTGCAGGGCTCCGGCTGAGTGGAGGAGAGAGAGCGACTGGCAGCACGCAGGTCTCAGAGGCGGGCGTGACACAATAAGCAGAAACTGGAGGAGGGCTGCAGGGTGGGGCAGTTGGTAGCACTGTTGCCTCGCAGCAAGAAGGTCGCCGGTTTGCGTCCCGGTGGGGGCACCGGAGTGCCTGAAGTCTCCAGGTTCTGTCCGGGTTCTCCGGCTTCCTCNGGTGTGTGGGAGGTCCCACACACCTGGGATTCCATCCTGGACCGGGCACGAGCGGGCAAACACAAACACCAATTATCTCGTTTTCACGAGAAAACGATTCTTGTTATCCTGAGATAACGAGAAAATTAACTCGTTATCTCGAGAAAACGGCGAAGAAAGAACAGGAGCGGAAAACGAGCGCTCTGGGCTTCCGTATTAAAGCCATTCAGGACAGCTGGAAGTGTGACATCACTCAAGTCAAATCATGGCAAAATAAATCCTGTCACTCTCAAGAAGTGCATTTTCCAACGACTTTAACATAGAACTGTGGAACATGTTTACTATCTAAAGTGAGTGTACCAGAATATAATCCACATTTTAACAACATACAACATTGCAACTGTCAAGAAGTGCACAAGCCCACATCCTGTTCTAACAGCATAACAAGAATCCAGCAACATTCTGGTTCCAGTGTCAAAACAATTCCAGCAGCAAACACATGAATTCAAACTATAACTGGTGCAGTTTCTTAAATTGAGAACTTTAGCAATTTGTCTTACTCTTAAAATAAGGAAAGCAATCTTGTTCCTCTGCTGGGATTTCATGTGAACCATGTGAACCACCACATCGCTGCTTGTTACCAGTCATTCTAGCTCAATATTAGCTGAAAAATCTTATTAAGAAAAAGTTAGATATATTTTCTTAAAATTAGACACATTTTCTTCAGTAAAACTTGCTTGTCAAGATTATTTTACTTTTTAGATAAATAATAAAGGGGCGCCACCTGGTGGAGCTGGCGTCCCATGTGCAGGGCTCCAGTCATGAGTTCCAATCCCACACGTCCTCCATTCTTCTCCCCCACTTTCCTGTCTCTCTCTCACTGCTCTATCCAATAAAAAAAGAACAATTTCCCAGAAACAAGGCTTTCTGACTTTCTTAAAAATCCTTTTTTGCAGTGTCAGACAAGAGTTCTGATCGGTTCCACCATCATGTTTCCTTCGTCAGCTGCTTCTGTGGCTTACAGCTCAGTTTGAACATCAAATCCAGCTCTAGCAGAATCCTTCAAGTATTACACAGACAGCTAGATGACAGGGAGACACATGTGCACCTGTTGGCCGAGTTTCTGCTGTCTCACCTGTGTGTTTCTGGTTCAGGTGAATCTGAGTGGATCAGAGATGCAGTCTGGGTCAGATCCTCCAGGATCTGGACTAAAGTCTGTCAGAAGATCTCCTCGTCTGTCCCCTCAGGTTAGTGAGCTGACGCAGGTCTCCCATGTCCTGAACACACACGAGTCACACTGAGCTGAACTGAAGTAGGTCATTAATCATATTCATTTATGTGTGTGTATGAAAAGCCCTGGACTGGATGAAGACGTAGGATACAGGTTTACAGCACAGATGATGATTAGTTGAAGGTGAATGTGCAGATTCCTCAGAGGACTGATTGTTACTGTCCTGATTAAAGCAGAAGAGTCGTGACGTTTCCATAAAATGTCTCAGAAATATGAATGACATGCCTGAAAAAATGTGAAAATGATCACAGATTAGAGCTTTCAAGGTGATTTTAGTCCCAGACAGTGTTTGTTAGAGTTTATCTGAGTCACATGAATCATTAACGGGAGTCAGTCAAGTTTTAACGACGTGATGGAAATAAAACTGTCAATGATTGAGCTGAGCTCAGCTTTGACCTCAGCTTGTCTCCTTCATGTTTCACACGTTGTCAGACAGGTGTGTTGAGCTGCTCCTCTTGTTCTCAGGTGAACAGTGAAGCTGAGCCGCAGAGAGGAGGAGGCCTGCAGGAGGTGAAGAGGAGAGGGAGGATGAAGATGATGGAGAGGAGCAGAGAGGAGGAGCTGAGCGACCACCTGAAGACACTGGTGAGACTCGAATTGAACTGTCTCCATGTTCCAGACGTTTCCGCTCTGCTCTGCTCATCATGTAGAAAGATGTTCCACCATCAGATGTAGAAAGATGTTCCACCATCAGTATAAAGATGTTCCACCATCAGATGAATGTATCTCCACCAACTGGCTCCTCTGGTCTCTGGTTCTGATCCGTGCTGCATCTATTCATTGATCCAGTAGGATGGATTCTCCTTCAGTCTCTCTGAGGAAACTCTGGCTGCAGCTCACCTGAAACTCTGAATGTTTTGGTCACAGCTGGGTCAGTGGTGGAGGATCAGAACCAGGAGGAGGAAGGTTCTGGTTCTACAGGATCAGAACCAGGAGGAGGAAGGTTCTGGTTCTACAGAACCTGCTCCAAACACTTTAATTTTGGTGAATGTATACAGAAGACATGTCGAATAAAACCATATCAGTTCAGATTGTCTGTGTCTTACTGCCAGAACGATGGTGTCGTTGAGTTAACTTTATAAAGACGGAATCATTCCAACCTGCACATCTTTAGCATGTCTCATGTTAACATGGCGGTAAAGTAGAAAAATGCCTTCAGTGAGTTAGCATGGTTCCGTTTGAACATGTCATAACAAACATCAACAGTCGTAGTTACTCTGACTGGTTGTAATTCTGCTTTCAGTCGGCATTGTCAGACTCGTAGTAGTTAAAATAATGATGTTTGAGAGGTTGAGTCTCTGATCTCTGCAGAGCAAATCCACTGTGATGGTAAATGTTAAAAATGCTGCTGAGGTGAGTCAGTACCTCTTTGGCTAAAACTGTCTGTGTGTCTGCCGGTAGGATCTGTCCAGCGGTTCAGCAGTTGGTCGTGGGACTGGTCTTGTTTACTCTGAGAAATTCACTGTCCATCAGAACCAGTGGGACTCCAGGTAACCGGTTCAAACCAAACACTACATTTATAAGCAGCTCTTTATCCGTCATGTTTGGAAGGAAATCTCGTTTCTGCTTTCAGTCACTGAAATTCAGGAGGTCTTAAACCGATCTGAGTCATGAAATATTCAGTATCTGCTGATTCAGAATTCCAATCTGATACCATCCACTAGAACCCTGTCTCATGTAGGGTTAGAGGGTAGATGTAGGGTTAGAGGGTAGATGTAG